GTATTACATTCCACCATTCAGCGTCAAATTATCAAATAATGAAGAAAACCAAATACTGTATGTTAAAACTTTCAAAGAAGAAATATCACAATGAAGGAATAAAAAATAGAAAAATGAAGATAGAGAAACAAAAGGGCTCTCACCATCTTGCCTGAACGAAATATAAGGGAATCTCTAATACATCACAACTTATGCTTAGTAGAATAAGATAGATGCATGAAATTAACAATAATATTTTACTTACAATTGAGTCATACAACCAGAAAAAAATTACACAAAATTCAGGTAAAAGTACTACTCTATCTTTTGTTTTTTGTCTGGTTGTATGACTCAGTTGTAAAAATAATATTGCTCTGAAATTAATGGTTTTACTCTTGTACAAATGTATACAAGCGCTTCTTGGACTAAAGTAGTGTCGTGAGGCATCAATTTTTCAATTAATTACTCCCAACAACTTGATGCATGTTAAACTGTTAAACTGTTGAATTCTACTCCCAACTTATTACATAAACATAATAACGGGTCTTCACTTGGGATTTTAGAGTGAAAGCATGGATTTTGGGTTAAGGTTTAGGGATTTGTCATTAGGGGCAATTTTGTCCATAAATTTTGTATAAATTGGAATTGTGCTATTTGATGAGATACATTCCAAAAAGCGCTAATTTTCAACTCTAAGGCTTTAAAAAGTGCTATATAATATAATACCCTCGGTAAGCTCAATTTTTTTTTTTATTCGGTTTTTTTTTTATTTTTTATTTTTTATAATCCAAAAATCTCTGCACATAAGCCGTCCTGTCAAACCCTGTAATCTTTTGGAAACAGGAAATAACAGTCTTTGGCTGCGCAAGTGCCCATAATCTCAGTTTTTTACCAACAAATTTTGCAACCAATACTGTATCAATACATCAACCTAAAATTTATAAACAAAATGTAAAACTGTAAACCTAAAAACATTGAGTCTAACACTAAATGTAAAAGCGTGAAGCTGAAAACATTAAGTCTGACGCTGCCGTTTTGGTTCAAGCTTTATGCAATCCTGATGGTTAATTCAAGGCTCATCTAATGACTGACATTTTCTTGAAAAGTCAAAGATATAAAAGAGGATTGCTCTTCAATTAAAGCTACAGAGAACAAATAAGTTTTTTCTCTTCTTCTTTGACTCTGTAAAATTTTGCTTTGCTGGTTCTTTAGTTTACTTTAATTCTTGTAATCTTTGTGCAATCAATTGGGTTGTTCAATGAAGGTGATGTTTCCTTCACAGATAGAGAAGCTTAGGGAGTCTTTCTCTTGGGTTTAGAGGTTACGGTAAAAGAGTTGGGTGATAGATTAGCAAAGTGAGTTGGCTAGTGCTTGAGAATCTAAAATTGTAGTTTGTAAACAATATTAATCTTCTTAGTGTAGTGAGCCTCGGTGTTCAAGAGCTCAATATGGATGTAACTTGCTCAAATCTTGAGCAAGTGAACCACGGTAAACTCTTGTGTGTGTTTGCTTGTTCTTGATTTCTTTTGTGATTAATTGGTTGATTAGCATTTAGATTAGTCACAAATCGTAGCACAAAATATATAAAGTATTTAATCAATAAAAATATCATTATATATACAAAGTCTTTGATACAAAATGATTTTGTATCAAATAAATTGAAGAGTGAAGATATAGTATATTATATATATATATATATAATTATATATATATAAAAGCAACTCACTAAATCCGGATGAATGACATAATAATTAATTGACAATAAATGTCACTTTGTATAGAAACTTTGTATTTATAATAGTATTCAATTGATAAAGCCTCCACAAACTCAAAAGACTATTCACGAAATTGGTTAAACAACTTTGGTTGGTATACGTATCATACTGAATTTGAAAAATTGAAATATGATGAATACATATTCATGATTATAGGATAAGTGCTATGGGTAAAAAATTTAGAATAATACTACACTTCCAATTGATAACTCAAATTTCTTGTTCCAAGTTATGGGTTGTCTTAAGTGGTATTGATTAGTAAATAAAAAGTTGAAAAACACTACACCCACAATCTTTTCTCACAAACTTCCTCTTACAACCCAACGTGGCAACTCGTAATGAGTTCTACCTGATAAATTACGACTGATCAATTGTAAGTTATCACGTCAGGATTGTAAGAGAAAGTTTGTGAGAAGAAGTTGTGGGCATAACATTACTAAAAAATGTTTGATATGGTAAATGATATGTCAACACTAAATTAGTTAACACATCATTTAGAATGAAAATTTTGAGATTCGGTTTGGAATGTATGGTATCACTCAAAACATTATTCAATTTCATAAAATTGAAAATAAAATATACAAAAAGGTTATGGACCAATCTCCCATTAGATAGAGTTTTCAGCCTTGTTCTATCGGTGGCCCAATTATTATTTGGCCCATTTTGTAGGAATCATTTGTAACTTCTCATGAATTTGGACCCATTTCCCATTTGGTAGGAAATCATTTATGGAAGATTGGGTAGCCATTGAACAAATCAAAGGATGAGAGAACAGATTCTGTTTCTATTAGACTTCACAGTTTGGAGAAGTTTAACACTTCACTATATATCTGCCTGCTTTGGTTAAAAATTCCCTTCAGGAAAATTGGTATTGATTCGAGGTTTAAAGATGGAACAATGAAGGCAGAGAAGAGTTGGTGAGATATCCATAGCTTTAGGAGAATCAACTATATTGTACAAATTTCTTTACAGTTTTGATTCCAAAAGTATGAGAAGTTTCAATCTTGATTTCTTGTCCTGTTCAAGATGCTGCTTCTTTTCTGACAACTCAATTCCTGCAGTTACATCTAAAAACTTTCAGCATTTTTTGTGACAGAAATACAATATGAAGACGGGAAAAAAGATGTATCGTTTACATGTACCTGAAACTCGTAAGATGTGGTTTCTAAAATATGTTCTCTTTCTGCCATTTTCAATGCTTTTGCATAGAATTGAGTTTGTGTTCTAAGAAAGCTTATCAATTTTCTATTGCTGCACAATCTTAAACAAAATCACTCGAGAATTTTCATTACATGTAAACACAAAATTATCAAATGAAGGAAACACATATACTGATAATACTTACAAAGTAGCAATGCCACAAGAAAGACACAAAGAAAAGGGCTTTCACCCTGTAACTTGAACATAATATGAATCACAACATCTGACAAACTAGATAGAAGATGGCCTCAATCTTCTTTAGAAGTTTCGGCATTCTGCAACCACAGAGCAGAGCATATTTCAGGTGAATGAAGGAACTAACTACAAATACAAAGAAACCAAACGACATTTCTATAAATGTTGAACCAGAGTCCAATAATAAATGAAAAAAATAAGGGAATCAGCTCAGAAATTGATACATACCACTTTCTTATGCAACTGTTGAATGGTTGTATTAAGATCACCGTCCCAGCGCCAAACATCCGCTGCCCAGTTCTGCTGTACTTCGTGTAAGTTAGGTACGCTTAAAACTCCTCCAGAGAAAATATACAGATTGGGGCATTCTATTACAAAGAGTTCTTCTAAGGATGGGAATTTGAAAGTATTATTCCCAGGGAAGAAACTCGTAAGACTTCCTAAACCAAAAAGCGTTAAGCTCTTCAATTTGCAAAAGTTAATCTCAGCTTCTATTGCATTTCCCTCAGCTGCAACTACTTTTGTCATCATTTCACATCCACAAATCTTCATTTCTTTAAGTTGCACCAGGGTTTTGGCGGTTGAGAATGCTAATAAGTTCATCAATCTATTGCAAAACCACACTTCCAAAACTGTTAGATTGTGGAAAGATGCAGAGGATGGCACTAAATTAATCAAACTACTGCACCACCATACATCAAGAATTTCAAGATTTTGAATAATTGTGCCCAGTTTTGACCGTTGTTTAGACATGTACTTTAGATTAGACAGTTCAAACAACTTGAAATCTTTAATCTGTGCCAACAGCGTGACATGTCCCTCCACCTCTACATGTGAGAGTATCTCTTTGCATGAACCATGACTCAGAATGAGCTTTTCCAGATTGTGAAATCTTTGAAAGGAATGAAGCGGAAAAACATCTGATTCATCTTTCACAATGTGAAGAACTTCAAGTCTGCGAAAGAGATGTACCGGAAATCCGCCTTGCCATATTATCTCCACAACCTTCCCACCTAATTTCAGCTCCTTCAAATGAGGAAAGACCTAGTTACCAATAAACAAGGGAAAATTGAATTTGATGTTCCTCTTGACAATTTCATAAAATAGGCAGTATCAAAAAATGATTTCAAGCTGCCATAATTAGACAGATGAATGCTTAAAACATTTTATAAAACTATCAAAAAATTTGAACTCAATATACTTGACTGAATGAAGTTGATATGTAATAGTTTTATCTGACTTAACTGTGGCAATTAAAAGATAAATTATTTTGTTAAAAGAGATGGAATTTTCGACCTAATATCCATATACAGTTTCAAAGGAACCAAAAAAAAAAAAAAAAAGGGTCTCATACCTTTTCCACCAAGAAGAGAGCCTGTTCTGGTTGGTACTCATTACTTTCCTGGAGACTAAGAAATTTTGTAGTGAATATCTTCACCCTATCACAATCATACAGCTCCAGCTTTTTTAAAACCAGCCATTCTGAAGTATGTTTTCTGGGATAGAAGCAACTAAGTCGTTGAAGCAATGAGAGTTTGAGGAAGGTTACATGTGGAAAGACAAACCTAGCAACGGCTTCAATTCTGTCTTCCTTTGAAACAATCTCCTCCACTTCACAATTAACCATCTCAAGCTCTTCAAGTTTAAAAATGTTCCTGGCAATGGAGGCCGGAAATAGATTTTCTAGATTCTGACATCCAAAAACTCTCACTATTTGCAGCTTGGGAAAGGAAAGCATTCCTTGGGGATCCCTTTTCCATACATGCGTCACTTTTGGTAGACCATGGATACACAATTCTTTTAACTGAGGTTTAGAATGTTATTCTTCAAAATTTAGCCTCTGGAGATCAAATATCTCCATAAATCAACCACCAGCAGTAACTGTTAGTGATTCTAACTGCCAAAACCTTTCACAGATATTAGAAGGAAAAATAGTCAATAAGTTATCACAGTTCTTGATTTTCATTAATTTTAGTTTTTGAAAAGAATGCTCAGAAAGTTGGTAGTTCCACATCATCTTCAAGTTATCCATGCCAGAAATTACCAGTTCCTCTAAGCTTGGTAATGCAACCTGTAGGATTCATGCCATGGAGTAACTACTATTATTTCTAATTTTAAAAGAAGTAATTGAAAATTTTTATCTGGATAAATTAAGATCTAGAAGATAAAAAGATTCGTACAACGAGATATGAAAGATAGCAGAAAAAAGTAAATAATTTAGTGTCTTCTACCTTTTCATTGAAGAAAGGTGGAATGTCCTCTAAGTCGGTGCTTATGTTTGTCAAGAGGAATGCCTTGAATTGAGGGCATTGCTCTATCTCCAACTGTTTCAAGGATGGAAATTCAATGTAATTTTCTAACCAAAATCTCGTGAGTTTTTCAAAGTCTTTTATCACCATGCATTCTAAACGAGGGAAGATTTTGTCCTTCCTTAAGATAATGATTATTACCTCTTCTAGAACTGCACAATGGCTTATCTCAAGGTGCTAGAGCTTCACAAAGCTTCTAAATATTGAAGATGTAAAGATAAATTTTAATTTACCACATCCCCGCAAGATCAAATGTGTTAAATTTTGGATGGAAGAATACGTTGATGGAAGTTGATTGTGCCAAATGTTTTGAACATTAATTTCAGCCAGTTCCAACATCTCCAACCTGGGAAACAGGACCTGCAGAAAGTTAATGTTTCAATATTATTTCGAATAAATCTAAAAAGTGTAACTTTTTATCATGGACATATGACATCCCCAAGGGTTTAGATTTCTGTTGCTTTTCCCTAAGCAATTTATTTTTCCAGTATTTGTTAATAATGGAGAGGAAGAAAAGTGAATAAAAATGAAAAAAAAAAAAAAAAGTTCTGATTAACTTACCCTTTCACTAAAAAGTGGTATGTTTGAGTCAAGCTCATCCTCCAAAACAACTTTATCAGACCTTGTTACTTTCAAGCAAGAGCTTCTGAGTATTGGAAGTGATTTCAAAGTCAAGAAGCGTATACGAACTATTGCAATCTTATCGATCACTTCATTGTTGTCGATGTCATCTTCACTATCATCATCATAAATATCTTCGAAGTCATCTTTACTTTCAGTGGCATAAATCTCTTCAATGCCATCTTCATTTCCAGGAAAAAAAAATCATTTCCATATTACTGCATTCAATGACTTCAAGTGTTTGAAGTTGTGGAAGCCCTCTAGCAATAGAAAATGAGAAGACATTTTTCAACTTATCACACTTTTCCACCTTTATGAATTTTAAATTGCAAAATTTCTCTACAGTGAATTGACCTTTAAATATCATCTCCAAGTTAATCAAGTTTTGAAGAGACAGTGACTCCAAGAGCAGAAAAGCATGACTAGGTTCCCGGTCCATTGGGTCAACAATACATTGAAAGGAGGAATTATTCTGAATGTGGAGATGCTTCAATTGTGAAAAACCTACTCCATCTAATTGATAAAGAACATTATTGACACCCAGCAATTCTTCTAAATATAGTTCTTCAATTCCATTCAATTGCCTGGTAATCCCCCGCTTCGGAAAAATGCTAGCATTGACCTTCAGTTTCAATGTTCTTAAAGTCCCATACTCACTAAACCAGTCCCACTCATCACCTATGAATATCCTATATCTTTTCAACTTAGAAACAAGATCTCTTGGTAGAATATTGGCATCTTTACTATGTATTTCTAAGGATGTCAATTCAGACAAATGCTTCAACTCATCAAGGCTAGCATTTCTTCCTTCAAAGTTGAGTCCTTCAACTTCCCATTGAACAAAGCTATTATTCATATACAGTTCTTCTAAACAAGATAAACTTGATATGACATTTGGTGAAAACTTTTAGTTTGGAACAATCACTCACATCTAACATCCTCAGCTGAGTCAACTGTCCTATATCTTTAGGCAAAAACTTAATGTCAGGATGTGATAAGCTGAGGATTTCTAGGTTCTTCAAGTCTCCAATACCAGCTATGTTTCCCAATTTGCACTGATCCAAACACAATGTTCGAAGGTTTACTAAGAGACAAAGTGAGAAAGGTAATGGTGATAATTGCATTTTGGTTAAATTTATAATAGTGAGTTTTGTCATTCCAGTGAAAAAATTGTCTGGAATTTTCATAAAAGGATTTCGAGCAAGAAGATTGAAAAAATTGAGATGTGGACTTTCCAAACCTTCAGGAAGCTCTCTATCATTACTATCACGTATAAAGATTGCTTTGCAACTTCTAAGTGCATCCTTATCTAGCCAATTTGTAGCCTCATTTCTCAGTATAAATGTATGTTGATCTCTAGATGCAATTGATATGGCAACAAGACGAACAACATCATGAATAGAAAACCATTCATTGGAATAACCGTCTAGTAACAAACAAGAGCATTTGAGTTCATGGATCAATGTAAATACTCTATTTTGTGCTTCTTCCACCCTACTAATTTCTTTAAATAAACCCAAACCCATTCCATATTTCAACAACTCCATAATGGAAACATCACCAGAATATTCCATTATACTACAAAGCAAAAAAGTTGACTTGAGTTCCTCACCTTTCAAAAGATTGTAACTCAACTCTATACTTGAATAAACCTCCACAAGTATTCCAGTGAAGTTATTCAATAAAGGCCTTCTCAAACTTCGCAATGCATTGCGCCATGTAGCTAAACCCTTGCCTCTTAATGCAATTGCAATTGAAGCAATGGCAAGAGGCAAACCTCCACATGCCTTGGCTATGTCAATTCCTAAGGACTGCAACTCATGGTTTTCAGCAGAATCACCTGTTATTTTCTTAAATAGACTAAAACCTTCTTCTTCATCTAAAACACTAACAGCGAAATTATGACGAGAACCTATCTAGCTTAATACATCATGATCTCTTGACGTTAGCAATACTTTACATCCCTTATGTTCATTTCTCACAGGAATTCCAACTCTCCTCAAATCAAGACTTGTCCAGATATTATCTAATATTACAAGGATGCTCTTCTCTTTCATCAATCGTTTAAATAGCCAAACTGCTCTCCCCACTTCATTCCCCTCCCGGAACATCAGACCTAGCTAATCTGTAATGTCTCCTTGAATCTTTTTTAAGTCCACAAATGGGGTTACCTCTGCGAAAATCACAACATCAAAGAGCTTGTGTGTCTCGACTTCAGCAGTAACTTACTTCACTAACACAGTCTTGCCAATGCCACCCATTCCGTACACCCCAACTATGTTGATAGCCGGATCCTTTAATGTGTTGTATAGACCCTGCAAAGTGGACATTCTTGATCCAAAATTCTCGTAAACTTTGGTAGAAGTAAGCCATTTGCTGGGTGAAATGATAGTGTAAGAAACTCTATGGAACACTCCTTCTCCCTGGGGTTCAGCAACAGCTTTCAGTTGCCTCATTGCTTTGTTGCTGAGATGATAACAGGTTCTCAGATCAGGACACAACCCAATGAAAAATCGATTATTTTCTTTCTGCTCAAAGCCTTCAAAACTCATTCTTGTATCATCAACGAGCTCCTCAACATTAGTTAACCACTTTAAAACATCCTCATAAATCGCTTCTCCATTTCTTCTAGAAACCTCTATCATATGCTACACATGCTCTCTGGCATCCATCAGTTTCTCAAGTTCAGTAACAAGATTCACATAGTATCTCTTGTAGTTACGCAAAGAAATAAGTGGGTTTTGGCTCGAAGTAATCAATTTTGATATGTCCTCTAGAATGGGACTGGAGTAGATTTCATGGAATCTTTCACCTTTAGACAGGTATAAAACCATAGCCTTAACTTCCCTCGCCGCTTTCTTACTAAGCTGATGGCGGATTCTCAAATCAGGACATGCCCCCCCGAAACATCTCTTCTTTCCTTTCCATTCACCTTCAATAATTCTTCTTGCCTTAGAGAGGAGGTGGTAGACACCACTCAGCCACTCTGTAATTTCATTTTCTATCTCTTCCCCATTTCTTTCAGCAACCTGAATCTTAAGCTGCACACGCTGTTTGACAAGGGTCAGCTTCTCAACTTGTGCCCTGAGATTCTCAAAGTTGGTGTTGTATTTGTGCAAATAACTAAATCGATTTCTGATCAAATCAGTGCAGGATTGGAAAGTTGTAGACGTAAAAATCTACCTGTACGGAAGGGGGGGTCTGATCCCGTGAGGTTGAGGTTGAGGTTGAGGCCACTAGCGATCTGCTATACCTGCACACGTAGAGAAACACACGTGAAGCGAATGGGAAACACCAGGGTGGTGTTTGCCGTAGGCACTCCGATGCTCAAGTTAGCAAGGCTGAAAGGCTAATATAGTGAGGGCTANAAATCAAGACTTGTCCAGATATTATCTAATATTACAAGGATGCTTTTCTCTTTCATCAATCGTTTAAATAGTCAAACTGCTCTCCCCACTTCATTCCCCTCCCGGAACATCAGACCTAGTTGATCTGCAATGTCTCCTTGAATCTTTTTTAAGTCCACAAATGGGGTTACCTCTGCGAAAATCACAACATCAAAGAGCTTGTGTGTCTCGACTTCAACAGCAACTTGCTTCACTAGCATAGTCTTGCCAATGCCACCCATTCCGTACACCCCAACTATGTTGATAGCCGGATCCTTTAATGTGCTGTATAGACCCTGCAAAGTGGACATTCTTGATCCAAAATTCTCGTAAACTTTGGTAGAAGTAAGCCATATGCTGGGTGGAATGATAGTGTAAGAAACTCTATGGAACACTCCTTCTCCCTGGAGTTCAGCAACAGCTTTCAGTTGCCTCACTGCTTTGTTGTTGAGATGATAACGAGTTCTTAGATAAGGACACAACCCAATGAAACATCAGTTATTTGCTTTCTACTCAAAGCCTTCAAAACTCCTCCTTGTATCATCAATGAGCTCCTCAACATTAGTTACCCACTTCAAAACATCCTCATAAATCGCTTCTCCATTTCTTCTAGAAACCTCCATCATATGTTGCACACGCTCTCTGGCATCCATCAGTTTCTCAAGTTCAGTAACAAGATTCACATAGTATCTCTTGTAGTTGCACAAAGAAATAAGTGGGTTTTGGCTCGAAGTAATCAATTTTGATATGTCCTCTGGAATGGGACGGGAGTAGATTTCATGGAATCTTTCACCTTTAGACAGGTATAAAACCATAGCCTTAACTTCCCTCGCCGCTTTCTTACTAAGCTGATGGCGGATTCTCAAATCAGGACATGCCCCCCCGAAACATCTCTTCTTTCCTTTCCATTCACCTTCAATAATTCTTCTTGCCTTAGAGAGGAGGTGGTAGACACCACTCAGCCACTCTGTAATTTCATTTTCTATCTCTTCCCCATTTCTTTCAGCAACCTGAATCTTAAGCTGCACACGCTGTTTGACAAGGGTCAGCTTCTCAACTTGTGCCCTGAGATTCTCAAAGTTGGTGTTGTATTTGTGCAAATAACTAAATCGATTTCTGATCAAATCAGTGCAGGATTGGAAAGTTGTAGACGTAAAAATCTACCTGTACGGAAGGGGGGGTCTGATCCCGTGAGGTTGAGGTTGAGGTTGAGGCCACTAGCGATCTGCTATACCTGCACACGTAGAGAAACACACGTGAAGCGAATGGGAAACACCAGGGTGGTGTTTGCCGTAGGCACTCCGATGCTCAAGTTAGCAAGGCTGAAAGGCTAATATAGTGAGGGCTAGGGAGTGAGAGATTACCTGAAGTCTAGTCGGGGACTGTGACTATGGCGATGAAGCGAAGCTCTCAAGTAAGAGCGTAGGGGGTGAAGGTGTAATGTCCATGTCCCTTGTGAGAGGGCTGGCCTTTGCTTATATAGTGATTGTCTGGTCTCCCAATCCTGGTAGAAATAGGAGTCCTAGTGTGACTCTGATGCAAACCCTAGAAGAATTAGGGCCGTGGTAAGCTATCTTACCCGTGTCCGGATAGGACGGTGATTCTAATTAGGAGATTGACTCCGAATAGGAAAGCAATCAGAAATAGGAAGGTGACCTTGAATAGGGGACTGATTAGGAGTAGGGAAGTATTCTGAGGGGCTGTGGGCTCTGGATTCGCCCATAGACCTGGGAAATGGACTGGTATTAAGAGGCTTGCGCCCACGTGGTTTGGGCCGGCTGTATTTTGTATCGAAAGGGCCTAATCCGATTGGATCATATCGGGATTGGGCTTGGCTTCTTCTTCAGTGTCGGGCTCATTTCCCTATTTGGGCCAAGGACGATTTTTGACCCTAACAGTTTGCCGCCCACTCTCTAAGTTAAAAGTTACTTAAGTCAGAGAGTAGGAAGCGATCGATGGGCACTTGGTCATCCGGGATGGATGACCTGTTGGGAGATCTGTGTCCTGGGGTCGTTCGGTATCCATTATCGGTCGGGAGTACGTCAGTCATACCTGATCGGTGTAAGGGGTCGAGGGATCAGAGAAGCATGGTCCGGATCTCACGCGCTTATCCGGTACGTCCGACCGACTGGAGAGGAAGGGTCTGGTAGCTCGGAGTTCGCTCGGTCTTCATGGTCGAGTAAGGTGGAGAGTTCACTGATAGTAAGACTATTCATTCGATCAGGACGCACGGACGATGGAGTGGATGGGACATGAACTTCTACTGACTACCCTTCGTTCGCTATGGGAGGACGAGCGGGTGAAACTTCTTGGTCCGACGAGGGTTCGAAACTGGCCGTTTTAAGCTAGTCGACCGGTGTGCCATGTCTTTCGGGCCAGCGAAGCGTGGGGCACTTAGAGTGCCTTCGGAAGTCTAGGACCGAATCGGTCGGGGGTATCGAGCGATCGAGTGTAGGGGATGTGTGAGCTTTGATGTTGGTTGTCTATTCGTCCGCTACGGAAGAACGATAATGCTAGAGCTCGGGCTGGACCGTTCCCAGTCGATCGACTGGTCTGGGGGGAACCTCCTGAGCCTCTGATTTACAGGGGTGTGGTCCATTGGCGGGCGCGTGTTGACTCGGTCGGCAGGTATGGGCGGTCGATTTAGGCTTCCGTATGTCGTTGCCGTTTTCCAGGCGCCGCGGATGCTTGCCACGTGTTCGGCAGAGATCAGATCTTCATTTACGAGGCGGGAAACTGAAAAGGCGTTTTGACCTATGGCTAATCGCGGGCTGTCACGTGTCCTTGCCTGACAGTTTTCCCTTTTAAAAGTGAAAGGGCGAACTGTTCGTCTTCCAGTTCGCGTTTTTCTCCCATTTTCTCTTCAAAGAAAATTTTTCTTTCCTTTTCGTTTCTTCGATTCTGTTCTGGTTTCTTTTCAACGACGACGGCTTTTTGTCTACAATCTATTATTTTACGGTAAATCCTCTTTCCTTTGGACTGATTTTTAGGTTTGTTTCCATTGTTTGCTAGGTTTTTGGATGATAGGGTGGAATTTTTTGGGGATTGAGTAGTTTTGACTGGTTTTGAGGATTTTTAGAAGTGTTGGCATTTTGATTTTCTAGAATAGGTTCAGATTTTCAGATTTTCTGTGTGTTTCCAGCAAGTTGGCTGTTGTTTTTGGAGTTTTTCCTGGGCGTTCTGGGTGGAATATGGAAGACGAAACCAATTTTAGTGCAAGATCGTTCGGTCGGCCCGCCTGACCGAGTAGGGTGTAATTTTGGTGGAATCGGAGTTAGACCGTCCGCTCCATCCGACCGAGTAGCAAGGAGTACTATGAAGTGAACTGGTCGGTCGTCCAGATCGGGCGGGTGACTAGGGTGATAGGTCGATGAACAAGGGCGAGTAGACTGTAGTCTTGGGGGTTGGTCGCCCGGGGCGAGCGAGTGAATACTCGGGGGATTGATTGGGCGTTATCGGGGGTGAGCCAAGGAAGATTTAGGTCGAGGGCCGAGGTGGTCGACCAGGAGGGTCGACCAAAGGTTGGGGAACCCGTTTCTAGGTGATAGACCGGTGCTGTGGGGCGAGTGGCAATTCTGTTTTTGACATTATGCGGTCGGTATCTCCGGTCGGGTGGCTACTTCATACTTGGCGTTTTTGGCAGTTAGGAGCGAGGCTTGGGTTGATCTGTTGGGTTGGGCGACCGAGGCAACATGTCAGATTTTGACACGGTTAGTTCGAGCGGGGTTGCGGCAGACCCGGGGGATGAGTATAAGCGTGCCCCTACTATAGTGATGATGCCTGAAGGGGGCGTCCCCGTGGGCGTACCGACTGGAGTCAGTATAGCCGTTTTGGGAGCGATTCAGACTGGGTCGAGTGGCTCGGGCTGGCATGGTAGGAGTGGGGAAGACTCTGGAGGGGCCGGCAATCCATCTTCATCCGATAGTGGCTCCGAGGAAGAGCCGAGCCAGCAGGGTAATGGGATTTTTACCAGGGATTATCCGCCCGTGCTGAAGGGTAGTGACGTGTGGCGCATCCGTACATTGTATCATATCCCTGGTTCGGTCAAGATCCAGACCCCACGGTCGTATGAGCGGGTTGATTAGGAAACTGAAGGCTGGATCTGTGTTTATGAGAAATGGTTCCATGACGGGTTGAGGTTGCCTGTGCCTCGCCTCGTCTGGGAGGTGCTGAACCACTTCATGATTGCCCCTTCCCAGCTTATGCCGAACGCTTGGAGATTGCTGATGGCCCTGGAGGATTTGTGTGTTTGGCACCAA